CTTTGGTGTTCTCGTTCTTTATCAGTAAAAGATTTGGAGGTTGTGGTTGTGCCATTGAGGAAATTTGCTGGTACCAGTTTCTTCTTCTTACCTTAATGTGAAATTTCACTGAAAAATGTGGATTTTAGGGTTCTTTGGCAAGGCTCGATGCTATCACCTGTAATTAAGTTCACCAAATTGTTTTCATTGTCTATTAGGTATTTAATTAGCATGGGATCTGCTTTCGTAGACAGATTGTGCTCTATTTGTGTGATGGAACTCTGTAGTCCTCCTTAACTCATCCAAAACAAAATTATTGGAAGGCTCATTTGAGCTGTTACTACGTTGATTGAGATTTAAAATTTCTTAATTTAAAAATCTGTTAGGTTAAGGAATTTGATAGCTTTATTTAAGGTTCCTGACTAACTTTTTAAATAATTATGTGGAGAAAAATATTTGATTATTATTTTTGTAATCATATTGATGATGAATCCCAATATAGATTGCTTAAACCTCTGTGTTGACATATGTGCTCGTAATATTTTGCTGGTCTTAATGGAATGTATAACCGGGAACTGAAGGCAAGAGGGTGCAGTTGCATATTTAGTTGAAAATAAATCCTTGGTTTTTTTATTTTGTACCCTTTAATTTGTTGATATAACTTGGCTGTAAAGATGAGTAATCTGAAGTTTATTGGTCTCTGATACAAGACAAAAGTCCTCTTCATTGTTTCTTTTTCTTGGGTTGTTTGGTCAATTTCGATAGAATATTCTGATCACAGATGAAGTATAAAATTGAATTTGTTGTTTTAGCACGTATACTTTTCATGATTTTGAAAACTGATTGTAAACTTACCCGTGTCTGCTTATGTTGTAGGTTTTCAACTGGCTTTGGAGTCACTGGTGGTAGTGCTTTGATCCATGAGTTTTATGCTAGAGAAGTTTCAAATCCGGTTCATTTGACTGTTGATACTGGATTCAAAAATGGAGAGGCTGCAATAAAGGGATTTGTCTCAATTAATTTATCTCCTGGAGATCAACAACTTGCTGCACAATTTCAAGAAATTCCATTGGACCTACGCATGGTTGAGGCTGAGTGTGTTGGTTGTATGTATCTGACCTTGAAATTTATTGAAAATTGGACATTTCATTTGGATATATTGGTACAGGTTTAAGCATGCTTAATGGTTGAAGTTTCCTTTAGTACATGTACATTGGGCTACTATTTATTTAAAGTGAAACTGTATGCTTCTTAGTACCTCTAATTTGTAAGTTTCTGATTATAAAGATAAATGTACATTTATTCTGAGTTTCATTTCTGCCTCATTATATGTTTCTTTCCTTATTGTTTTTATATTTATATTTATATACTACTATTGTATACCTTAGTTGTCTTTCTTGCTTGACACCTCATGTTTGGTAGTTAATTAAAAAAAATTCTGTTTCAGAATTTAACTGTAAGGTAGAGCATCTATGTTTTGGATTACTATGTAGTCTATGTTGATGAAAAATCTTAATGGGAGTGTTTACAACATTGTAGTTGATGTTGTACTCTGTTATGATCAACCAATAGAGATATGGTGCTTCAGCTCATTTACCCAGGTTAAAGAATTATCATCAAATTTAAGATGTTTTGACTATGTGATATGAGAATGATGAATAATATTGTTGTTTCTGTAAACAAACAAACCGCTGAATTAGTTTGGTATTTGTTAGTTTGATTCATTTGAAGAACTTCTAATTTCCTTGATTGCAATTTGTGAACTAAGGATTTGCAAGGTTCTGATTGCTGCATTATTACACGTAGATATTGCAAACATGGATGTCAATGAAGTATATGGATATTATACCTTGTCCTTTTGAAGGATGCCATTCTTTTTATTAATGATAAATTACTTTTTTTGATTAAAAAAAGATTAAGATGGACAAGAGAATATAAATATGAATAAAATAACATTGGTAGCGTTAGAAGTGCGCTTGACCCAATCATGACGAAGTTCTGTTCATGTGCGTCACTGTAATTATTGTCATAAGTTACGTACAAGGACAAAAATAAAGATTTGTCCAATTTAATTTAATGTGTTTTTTATATCTGGAAACAAATATTTTAAGATTCACCAACTAACAATTTTATATGTTATTTAATATTATATTAATATTAAACTATTAAAATTTATTGAATAATTATATTTATTGAATAAAATATTATTACAAAAATATTCTCAAAATTTCAAAGTAAACGCGTTTTCCATTTTCATGTTTCTCAAAACAGTTTTTCAAAATGACAAAAAGAACGCGTTTTCAGAAATTTCAAAACAGACACTCAAAACACAAAACACAAAATAAATTCAAAACTCAAAACACAAAACTGAAACACAAAGAGAACGGCCCCTTATATTTTTTTAAGAAATAGGCAGAGAGCATAATACCGTTTCAAAATAGTTGTGGCAATCGAGTCGAGCGGCTCGTCGGCTTGGCTCGTACTATAGCGGCCCACGAGCCGCTCGGGCTCGTCAAAAAACGAGCCGAGCAGGCCGTCTCGGCTCGTTTTTGACGAGCGGCTCGTTTTTTTTTTTTAAAGAATAATAGTTAAAAAAAACGAGCCGTTTTAGCCACTCGGCTCGGTTCGCTACAATACGAGCTCGTGGGCCGAGCCGAGCTCGTTTTATAACGAGCCACGAGTTCGAGCTCGTGGGTAACGAGCTGAGTTCGTGGGCAACGAGCCGGCTCCGGCTCGGCTCGGCTCGGCTCGTTTGCCACCGCTATTTCAAAATTTCTAACCCTTTTTTCAAAATAACAAATGTGCATTGAAACCCTAATTGCTGTCAAATCATTCCTTTAGAATGGCAGTTGTTGGATCTTTAAATGTGCTAAAATAAACCTTTACAATCGTAGGTGTAGGAGAATCAGATCGCTGAACGTGATTTTGCAACCGGATTCTTGCCTCTGCGACTCTACCTCTCTTGTGCAAAACACCCATGTTCAATTTTTTCACACCCCTATTAAAGAGAGAAGACGGAATACCGGTTTTTACCTTTTGAAATTTCCTATTTTTCCCTTTTGATTGGAATTTAATGGCAGAATAAACGATGGCCAATGGTAGGGATATTCCGCACAAAACGTTGCATACTGGGATGTTTTGTATTATTTCCAAAAGTTAGAAATTTTCGACAATTTAGCTAATAGGTTTGGGGGTATTGTACTGTTTAACCATTTAAAAATGACACAACTATATTTTAGTTTAAAATAATTATTAATTTTAATCACATATTCGAAATACCTGCAACTAATATTATTTATCCTACAAGTAGTATTCAAAGTCAACACTAGTTTTAGGAAACTACGATGTTATCTCACACTACCAGCATATTTTAAGTCGAAGCTTGCCGTTCGTTGACATCAATCTTGAATTATTGTCGTTAGAATTCGAACTCAACTTGTTTGTGTTAATTAGATATTCAGTTTTAGCAATGTTTGTTTCAACTAAAAAAATTACTAAAATTTAAGTTAAGGTTAACAATTAAACCTCATTTTGATAATCATTATTGAGAAAAATGATGTTTTAAATAGTGAATTTTTAAAAATGTGTGTTTAAACGTACAAAATATTTTTAAAAGTTTTGTTTTAAAAGAAGACAAGCAGATACTAACTATAAGCACATATTTCATGAGAATCATAACTTTTAAAACCAACAAGGATTTTCTGAGGTATGATTGCCGGGGGGTGGTTTTAATAAATTGAAAATAAGATAAGGGATCGAGCTCGTACATAATGGATATAGGATAAATTTGTCTCGACGAACTTATATGTCCTACCTTTCTCACACGAGGAAGACAAAAACTACAAAAGAATTCTATGTAAGAAAAAGTTACTAATAAAAGCATAAAACACACCTAAAAAATACAAATGCACATAAAATTATTTAACTTCTAAATATTTACTTTTTTTTCTAAGTTATATTATCACATTTTATTGCTAGTAGAATTTATATATGAAACATTTTACCATAATTGTTTTCTAGGTTATTACATCGTATTATATTTTATTGCTAGTGAATTTATATAATAATTTCTTTAAATTTTCTATTCATTTTTTGTTCACTTGGTCTGGTAAACAAATAAATATCAATTGGTACAATAATGCATTAATTCCTAGTTTCCATTCAGGGGTCCATACCATTTTCTAGAACAAGTGGATGAAATAATCAATGCATCCACCAATCCAAGATGTGGGACATTTGCGTATTTGAAATTGAATGAGTACGTTGGTGCTCAACTTTTCAATAACGAAATTATAAAAATATTGAATTTTTTGTTAAATTGTTACATCATTGTAAAACCATGCCCCGCTTCAAATTTGTGAGCCAAAAACTTAATTCAATAAAATTAGATATACGAGACCTAAGTGAAAATTTAATAAAATTTTGGATACTTTTCGTCATTTGAAATTGATTGTACAACTATAATAAAATGTTAATTAAATATCAAACTTCCAATATTTTATAAAAGTTGGAGCTCAACTTGCTATTAGAGCAATTTGTAGCCAATGGTGCAATTTTCTTAAATAAGTCATAAAATATTAAGCCCCTCGTTGGTATAAATTAAAATCTGTTTTTCATCTCGTGTATAAGTCAACAATTAAGTTTAATAAGATATTTAATGAGATCCACAAGTTCAGCACCACATATATCATCATTTTTTTAATATTAAAATCTACTGAAAATTTAATTTTAATTTATATTAAACAAGGGCAAATTTTTACCATTCCTCACTTCAAACTCCTCCTTTATATGAGCTCAAATATGATAATGCAACACACACACACAGAGTCTCTCTCTCTCTCTCTCTGAGAAAAGGTTTATAAAGTGTTGAAAATTAAAAAGCATGAAATTTCATAGCAAATGATCATGTTACAAAGTGGTAGAAATCCTTTTACATTGTCCTCTTATTTCTTTTTCTTTTTGTACCCTAGTTGATTTTCATCTATATCCATGCTTCAATCTTCTTCTTCTTCTTCTATATCCTATCCCTTGTTATTACTTTGAGCAATTCCATTGCCATTTGCAGGCAATGGACCCATCTCTGTCTCGGCTGCCTCCGCCTCGGCCCGGAATTTCTTGTAGATATCACTTTTATAAAACTTTATAGTCCTTGTCACCAAAAGAAGTGAGACAATTGCTCCAAAAACAGTAACTGCAGTGATTATAATGAAAGCCAATCTAAAACATTCCACCCCATTGCAATCCAAGTCCTCTCCATGCCTCCTGACCCGACCCATGGCCCGCATTTGCTTCTCAGCTTCCTTATCATACAAATGTCCAGCCACCCTCACATTGAGCAAATATGATCCAATCGGGCTTGCCACGGCCCCAAAGTTGTACAGTGTCGAATAGTATTTGAGCCCAAAAAGCTCAGAAATTATCGCGAAAAGCAACGGCCATTGGGCTCCAAAGCAAAATCCTATGATCACAGATGCAATATAGAGACCATTTGGGACATTAAATGCAATCAACAAGTGACCTATGCATGAAATTATTAGTGTTAAAGTGAGCATGAGTGGCCTTGGGAATTTGTATTTGGTTAAGAAATGTTCAGAAAGGAAACCTGAAACTACTCGACCTAGGTAGTTCCAAATGCTTACTAGGGACACAAATGTGCTAATACTTTTTTTTGGGTAGCCAAGTGAAGATCCAATCTGTCCTAAATTGTCTATTGCTGTCAAGGTTCCTCCAACCCCACAAATAGTTGCAAAAAATAAGATTAACATGTCTATGCTAAAGAGTGCTTGTAGGATTGTATAGTCCTCCCCTCGGTCTGGTGGCCGGAATATACTGTTAGCATTCCAGCAAGAAATTTCTGGGTTTTGTTGGGATTCAGAAGTGGTGGATGTTGGTGGTGGTTGCGAAACTGGCAGTGGAGTCACCACGTCGGAATTTGGTGGTTTTTCTGTCACGAGCTTCAACTGTGAAACTGAAAGATTATCCAATTCTTGTTTTTTCTTCTTCCAGATATAAATTTCCTCTTTTATAACAACAGCAACTGGGAGAAACAGCAAAATAAGAACAATTGTTGCACATATTCCATACTCAATCCTTGTAAAATCAAGCCTTTTCTGGAGTATGATAATTACCATGAGAAATCCAGCTAAACCCAAAGATAAATACAGAAATCTATAGAAAACTTTGAGTTCGTGTGGAATGCGAACAACCTTCAATATCCTGATTGTTCGAAGAAAAGCGAACGAAATAGCAGCCGGTAGCCAACCTATGAGCAAAATAAGTGATTTTTTGTCATCTCCATAAATTGCATGGTAGATTTGAGTGATGATTGCACCACTTAGGCCAACAAAACCCTTGAGAAGGCCTAAAACTGCTCCTCGGCTCTCGGGGAAGTTCTTCACGGCGGTGACAAGGGCTCCGGTGTTGGCAAAAGACTGAGAATTTGCACCGATACATATGTATAAACACATGTGCCAAACTTGGGGCGTTGCAATTTTTTTGGATACTGCAAGCCATATCATGAAGTAGCCAAAGAAGTTGAGGACTGCTCCGATGGAAAGCACCACCCACGGCGGTGTTACCTCGTTAATTAGGCCGGAGATGATGCCGACATTGGAGCCTAAGTCCTTGAAGAAGCTGAGCAAGTTGAGGGTTGTTTGGTCATAGCCAAGGGAGGATTTTATCTCGTCGGAGTAGAGGGCAAACATGTAGGTGGCACCGGCCGCGGACATGATGAGGATGGTGGCAAATACCATGAACCACCGGCCGACAAGGACCTGCACTGCGAAGCTCCTCGTGTTTGGCCAATCACCACCGCTACCACCACCGGCAAACGCCATTTTTCTCTCTTTTTTGAGTTTTGTTGTGCTTGTGTGCTTTCTAGTTAATTAAGGTAGTTGCATTCTTACAATATTGTCGTGCTAGAAATAGTGCCGTTTTATAGTCATAAATAAATAGTGTGTGTGTGTGTGTCTTCATAGTTGACTTATCTAGCAATCGAGGTTCTTGGAAAATAACATTGGAAAAGAAGTATATTGTAGTATTGAATATTTGACTCAATTATTACTAATTATAACTCGAAGACTTTTCAAATGAATTACGGGAAGAAAGGGACAATGCTAGTAGAAAATTTAACCATTTTACAATAAAATTATAATATTATGAATGTTGTCGAAATTTATCGAATGCAACAGGAGAATCTAAAATCATTTCGAAATTTGATATGATTGTATAAAAAAAAAATTGAAAATTCAAAACTGTTAAAATAGGTAAAGAACGGGAGCTTCATCTCAAAATTTTATTTATTTTTATCGTAAGTTTGACCATTTGACATTTGATCCCTCTCGATCTTTTATCTTTACTAGGTCGAGCCTAATTCTTAAAACAGCGAAGATTACTCATAAATGAAATTATTTATATTGATCAATACTTGCTATGATATAAATATCTCTTCAGTAGCTTATAACTAAGGAAAGCCAGGTTGAAAAATCAATGATAATGAAGGAGGCAACAAATAAAAGAAACCACACAAAATGAAGAATGGTCAAATTGTATTATCCATTATAATTAGAATATTCTCTATTATGATTTATTTATTAGTGTGAGACAGAGACACACACAAGGAATCATTAATTTTCTTGGTAGCTTAGTTTAATGTTACCAGCTGTTGTTCGATGCGATCACAAATGTTAGGTGTTCATTTTAATCATACAACTTATTAATTTCATTATTATGTTTTATTTGGTTGACTAAAACTGTGAGATTTGGGTGGTTAATTTTTATTTTTATAAAGTAAGACAAAAATAATAATAATAATAATTATTATAACCGCTACTAAATCGTATTTTTGGCAATTATATAGATCACAAGTCGTTTAGAGTACGTTTGGTAGGTTGACTTGGGAACTTACCTTATGTCGTGACATTCGTACGTGTGCGCGTGCGTGTATATATATACAAGTCATTCCTACTTTAACATGATATACTTCGATCTTTTAGTACTTGCCCTGATTATACATTCTTATTCACTAAATATTCAATTTTTTCTTGTCAAAATCATAAATAAAAATATTGTGAATGCACATATATAAAAATGAAAAAATAAATCAAGAGTTGAAAGAAATTGTTAATCACTACACGTGTTCACATACATCTAGTTAATATCGATAATATTAAATAAAATTAGTTAAATTATTTAATAAGAATGATTATCAAAATTTGTTGAGAATTTCAAGTTTATACGTAAAAGTAACATTCTATTTTAATAACGTCATATCTTATAACGACTGAAATATAATAAATAAATAAGGGAAAATTTATGCTAGCGTGGACACAGACCAGATGGGCGGCTATATTCCTTTTATTTTATTTTTTTGTTTTCATGGGTTTTATTCTATTAGTCAAGAGTCAAGACTCATTAATTAGAGTGCATTTGGTAGAGATTTTTGGGGGAAAAAATGATTTTTGAATAGTGATATGATGGGAAATGTGTGGTTGAAAAAGAAGAAAAAAGTATTGATGTGATGAAAAATATTATTTTATTGAAAAATGTGTGGTTGAAAATGAGAATTGATTCACTGTAGAAAATGAGAATACNGAAAATGAGAATTGATTCACTGTAGAAAATGAGAATACGTACCAAACAGGCACTTATTTTGTTAAGAGATGAGGGACTTAGATGTGGGTCCCATTGTCAATAAAATATTCCGAAAAAATGAGGGTCCCACCTATGTTGTGTGTGGTCTGTAAATTTGACAAATTTTTTTTTTGAAATAAAGCCTCTTATACATTGTTTTCTTGACATCAAGTTTGACAGTATGTGTAAATTCAAGTTGTGTTTGGCGGGAAAGTGTCGTTTTTAAAAACTGCCCAATGTGATGTCGTCACGTGGTACAACGTCAAACTTGATGTTAAAGTTAGTGTACTTGTAGCATGATTGAAAAAAATTTCTGTACACCAAGAATTGTCCATGTGTGTGTGTATACACACTACTCCATTTACAAGTAATTGAGATGATCAATAAGAATGAAAATATCGAATAATATTGTCTTGCTTACAACAAACAGAAAATTATTATTTCCTTGCACGTGTACGACGAAAGGCATTGTTAAACAAGAACAAGATATTTGCTTAACTGTCCTCGTTAATCTCTAAATGTAACAAGTTCTAGCAGGTAATAAGACAACCCAGCTGCATTAGAAATAAAGAAAAAAAACAATAATTTACACACAAGCTTAGTCAATATGCTAGCACATTATATAAATTCTACGAACTTTCTAAATTTATGTCGATTTCCAATTATTATTTACAATTCTCGTTATAAATTTACAAGTTTTCTTTTCAATGAAAAATTGATCACCTACGAGCTCACAACCATCAGTATCTGTTGATGGAATAGTCTGTCATTTAATTATGAATAACGAAGACTACGTTTTGATGATACTATCATATGTTTCAATGTAATAAATTTTCCGTCCAAAATCTTCACTACCTACCTTGACATTATTTATCAATAATTTTCCTCAAGTGATGCATTGATTGATGGAAATACGTTTTCTTAGTGGTAATCACGAGAATAGGTAACTACCTTGCCAATATTTGTCAATAATTTTCCTCAAGTGATGCATTGATTGATGGAAATACGTTTTCTTAGTGGTAATCACAAGAATAGGTAATTGCTTGGTACTTTCAACATGGGAAAATTTGCGATGACAATTGCTCTTTTAGTACCCTCCAAACTTACACGTAGAACAAAAATGAACGTATCTTGGAACAATTTGAAAACAGTCACTATTTCTTAAATATGAATGGTAAATGATGAGTAAATAAGTAGTACTTATGAATCGTAAATTTGCAGATAAAAAGTCATTTGACAGATTATAAATAGTTCACAAATATGGACCAAATATGAGTTTAAGTAACATTATTATTGTGTACATATTATATATCTTGTTTGATTTGTGTAAAATATAATTGTACTTGATTTTTTGTATGTTGGTCTTCATATTCACAAATGTGTTTGAATGAAACATGTGGCTTGTATTAATTTGAACTAATTGGTCAACATTCTTGGGCTCTCTCTAATATTCAATTTAAGTGGATGATGGTTATGGGATTGATTGATTGAGATATGAAACACATATATACAATTACTGGATAATAAGTAATATTATTTATCATCAACTACGAAATACTGAATTTCCAATTCACTTTTTCCCTATACACGGAAAAATCTCGAACCAATTGCTTTATAATATTAAAAAATAAAAATCAAACGCTAAAAATTGTATTGCAGTTTAGTAAATTGGCCAATTCAATTAAGAACCCGTTGACCAAGTTTTTCAATTGTGTTTAAAAAATAAATAAAATCTTTTTTTAAGGATCAATTAAACCTTGACACATATCATTTTAAGTTATGAATATTTTTCACATAGCATACTAAAACCTCAACTTATTGTTATTGGTCTAAAATTTTTCATATGATGAAAAACAAAGTGTTTATATTTGTAAATATTTCGTGGTTGGAAGCAATTTTTTCAATAATTAATTTCAACTACATATTTTCATGGGGTTCACAATTTTTCAATTACATATTTCATCAACTTTTATCGAAATTTATTAAAAATCTCATTTTAATATCCACCGAACAGGAGCTATAATTGTAATTGTTTGAGTTGCAATTCGTCCTCAACTTTCAAACAAGAACATTTTAATTCATATAAGCTGGAAGTAAGTGATCTGCACTTCGATGAAAACGAATACCCTTCCCGATCGAACAGGTATGGTAATTCTAGTTACTATTGCATGTAACGTAAGCTCAACAGTTCTAGAACCATCAATGATTGGTGAATCGGCAGATTCGTTTGCAACTCATTTGGAAATATTATCAGAATGATATTTCTTTCCTATATTTCAAATATTTCGTACAGTGCCCAATAAATTCTTAAAAAAAGTTGTGGTATCGATGGTCTCGGATAACAGTTATCTCAACATTACCGTCCAATTAATATGTGACATTGTTTTAAATGTTCACTGACTTCACTCCAAGTTGATGCTTAAAGAAATTCCTCTTTCTCGTCATGCAACACATGAATAGATATAACTTGACATTTAGTTGTTGTTTAACGATCATTAGTTCAAAACTCTTTTTTTATATACTAATTTTAAACTATATATTCACATATAAATTCAAAAATTTCTCTATTTTTTAACCACACACATTAACCAAAAAATCATTATTCAAAACTATATTTGACCCAAATAATTATTGTCAAAACGGGTTTAATACGAACAATTTACACAAACTTTATGAATTAAATCTACATATTTATTAGATTTAGGGAAATTGGATAAACAATAAACCGAGAGAACCGTGTCGTGCGGAGGGGTGACAATAACGTTTAAGACTTTGAAGGGGTATCTTTTTGGCTAGAGTTCAACTTGCTTGGATATTCGGGATGGGGGGCGGCATGGGGTAGTACCTAAATACCTATATTACCATCCAAGAAAGGAAATGTAAAGATGCGACAAAAAAATAATTTTAAAAAGGGGATTTATCATTTTGGTCTTATTTATTTTGTTTACATCCTCTTGTTAAGATACTATTTTTCTTGTACTATTATATGGGTTCTTTTCGTCTAATTTGTAAGTAAAAGAAAAAAAAAAAAAGTGTTTAAAAATTTGATGCATCTCAGAGTATTTGGATAATCAAATCAAATAAGACGATTAAAAAAAAAAAAAAATAGATGTATCAATACATTTTGTGTCGACTATACGATTCACTTCATTTCGTTCATTTTTATATATTTTACTGAAATATTGAATGTGATAAGAGACCATAT